CCCCCCCCCCCCCCCCCCCCCCCCCCCGCTTTCAAAAGAGAGACTTATTACAAAAGCAGAAATCACATTTAATAAATTAAGGAGAGGCCCTTTACAGTCGAGCCCAATAAATAACAAAAACAAGGTACAGAGATTGAGAGAGAGAGAGAGAGAAGGCAGAAGGAGGAACCGAACAGTGAGAGGCAGTATTTTTTTTAAAAGTACAAAATAGTCTAAAAAGAGAGAAATAGAGGAGACGTTGGAACTCGCTACCCACCACTGTCAGAACTGCTACGGAAAACGGGTGTTGCTCAGATCGGGGGGCGTATGGAGTCTCTTAAGCAAAGCCAGGAGCGCAGGTTTTACAAAGGCTGGTTGTGTGTACACTCGCATGCAGGTACGAAATCGGCCATGAAGCTTTTGCGTTGGAACGCCGTGTGCATTTAAAAGTGGTTCCTCCGTTGGCTTTTCTGAGTTTTCAGAAACCAGAGTCCATGTTTCTCAGTCTCGCCGCCCGTTCCCCGCATCGCACCTTTTTAATAAAACCCCGATCAGGCTTTTAAAAATATTTATGCCGAGATTTTTAAATCACAGGTTCTGCTCAGTTGGAGCAGCAATTTGCAGATGCTGAAATTCGTATCTCTCCACCCGCAAAATCTATTTAATTTCTCCACCCTTTTTTTCCCCTCCCAATATTTCATCACAATAATCCGGTGCGCTGGGGGAAAAAAAAGGTTTTGCACCCCGACCTTCACGGAAGCATTTGCAGCAAGATAAGCGTCTCCCCTTCCCCAGTCTCATCCTAATTAGCATCCCCCCCCCTTACAAGTAAGTCCTTGACTTACAACCCCAACCGAGCCAAACGTTATGCGAGACCGTTGTTAACCTGGTTTGACGTTGTTTTTTGGCTTGCTACAGCTGTTAAACAAATCTCTACCGTTGTTAAGTGAATGCTAACGGTCACAAAAGCAAATCTGGCTTCCCCGGCTTCTTGGGCCAAGCGCCCCAATTTCGATCACACGTGACACCCACCCACCCTCCCTCCCGGGGGCGCCGCAACAATTGTAAAACATGAAAACTGTTCGTAAACGCCACTTTTTCTCCCCCAGTGCTGTCGTTAAATTTGAGTGGTCGCTAAACGGTTGTAAGTCGAGGACTACCCATACCCCCCATCTTGGGAATTTCAGAGGGGTCTGTAAAACCTTGCCGCTGGCGGGATTCAGAAAAAAAATCAGACATTTCCAACAAGAAAAGGAACAGTGGGGGGAAAAAAAACCAGCTCACCCAAGATACTTTTTCAAAGAGAGACAAAACATGGAAACTACAAAGATTTTGTGTTTTTATCACAGTTGTGTGGCATCTTCCCCCCCCCCCCCCTTTTGGCATGGTGAGTGAGCGGAGGTAATGGAGGACCTGCCTGCTGCCCACCCCTTGCATTGCCCCCTCCCCAATTTTCTAAAACCACATTCACACACACACACACACACACACCCATACCCATATTTATGCTCGCTTGGCAGTTTGAAACTGGCAGATTGGAGAGAAGTGAGACTCCGGAAGACTAGTAGTGAAAAAGCCACAGAGCCTACAGAAAGCTCTTTGCGCTCCCCGCTTTTGGGGGTGGGGAGGTGGCGCAGGGGGCTTTAATAAAATGAGCCCCCCCTCCGATAAAAAAAAATAGGCGTGTTATGTATTGCATCTGAAGTCAGAAGTGGAACTTTAACCCTCCCCAAATGAATTCTGGCGGGTGGTGGATGCCTCCGAAACGGACAGCGAACTTGATAACCTATGGACTTCAACTCCCAGAATGCCTCAGCACAGCCAGCTCTGGGATTCTGGGAGTTGAAGTCCGCAGGTCGTAAAATTGCCCACCCCCTGCTTTATTAAGATAGCGGCCTCTATGGTCACTGGCTGTGGAGGAGGATGGGAAGGGTAGTCTTTCTCCCCCCCCCCCCTTTGAAGTGAGCCGCAGCATCCTTTCCGCCCCATTGAGTTTTTCTAAGTTAAAACATTTTAACAGTCTTTTTAACAGTGCTTCATTTTAGAGAGGTGGGCTGCTTTAACTGCTCAGAGGTGGGGGGGGGCTCCTGTTTCTCATCCCTTCCCCCCCCCTCTTTAAATCCTTGCCATGCAAGGTTTTTGGATATCTTCCTGGGAGGGAGTGTGTGAAACGTAAGTGCCACTTGCAGCTCATTAAAGCAGCTGCCTCTTATTATTATTTTTTTCCTTGGTGGGGGGGAAGCTGCTTTAAAAAGCCCACAGTGATGCGCCATTACAAATCCTCATTTTGCAATCGCTTCTGAAATGCTCAGACGAGAGAGAGAGGAGCAGAAATTGTGTGTGGGGGGTGAAGAAACCTGGTTGCCCCCACCCCCATTTAAGTGGGGGAGAAAAGGATGATTCCGACACCCCTGGTT